TGTACAGCGTGGTGAGCCCAGCCCTATGCTGGGGTACCTCGCTATATAAAACAATTTATAATAATAACAATTATAATAAGTATAACGACCAGGTCTGTGTGTTTTCCATTATCACGACCAGGTCTGTATGTTGTCAATTATTACGACTAGGTCTGTATGTTGTCAATTATCACGACCAGGTATTATGTTGTCTAGTATCACGACTAGGTCTATATGTTGTCTAGTATCTCAACTAGGTCTGGACTTAATTGGATACAGCTAGTAATAAGATTAGAGATTTTGCAATTCGATATTTTACAATAAATTTCTAATAGCGTATAATGTAGGAAATATTTCAATAAAATACAGTAAAATACATTTCTTAGTTAAATGTATCTGTAAAATCAATCACAGTAGATAATAACATAAAAGCAGCTACATAATTGTTATTTACAATCATGTTTTGGGGATGCATACATGACTGATAAAACATGTGTTTAACTCGGCTTTTTAAATTCTAAGTCTAAAATGACTTTAAAAAGATGATTTGGCATGTTTGTTATGAGAAACGTCATAGACGCTCTACTCCATTAAATCACCGTATTTTGTTCCCACGCTCAGACCACCTGTTACTGTCATGGCTTTACGGTGAACATGATCGCCTTCTTGTTCCATTGATTTATTTCGTTAATGAGATTTTGTTATGGGGTGAAGAGAAAATAATATTTCAAACAATTAATAGCTCTAATTCCCTCTACATTCGTCTCTCCAAGTACATCAATTTTATCTTTCTTTTCCTCCTGGTATCTCTCTCATGATCACTATATCTTTACTCTCTCTCTCTCTCTCTCTCTCTCTCTGTCTCTCTCTCTCTCTCTTGCTCTCTCTTTCCCCCTCTCTGTCTGTGGATTAGCCAACTTTTTGCCTTTCACAATTTTAATTCAGAAATACCTAAGTCAGAAACAATAACATGTCATTTCCCAATTTAAATTCAGCATTATCTAAATCACAACCAATAAAATGTCAATTCCCAATTCCAGTGCAATGTCATTTATGTCAAACAACCCTCACTCTCTCCTTTACACTTGAATATCTAGATGGCTGGATTGACCATTAACATCTCTGGACATAATTCCTTTCAAATTATTTTTTGATATCTCTGTATTTTTTCTTGGTTCGTGTAGGGATTTCTTTCAATGATTAAACATGTAGTGTCGTAGCTCTTTTAGAATAATCAGGTCATATCATAGTGGCAGACTAACATACACTACTACTGCACAGTAATAATAATAATACTAATAATAAAGATTATTTGAAAATCACGCTTCATCCTCAAAGGCTCGAAGCGCGGTACATACCAGATAGAAGTATAAAATGCAACATTACAAAAACTTCATACAAGAATACCCATTCTAAGTCTTTCATACCTTGCAACAAAAAAACATCACAGGCCAATAAACATCTACGAGATAATAGCTACATAGACAACATCACCCTGTACATGTTTGTGAAAAGATAAGTCTTCAAATCAGTTTTGAAAGACTCCAGTGTCTGGCCATTTCTGAGAGCGATACGAAGGGTGTTCCAAATTGCTGGGCCAGCCAATGCGAAAGTGTGGCCATCGTAAGTCTCAATGCGAACACGTGGTATCGAGAGTTTGCCACTATCGGATGAGCGGAGTTGTCTAGTGGGTCCATAATGATGACAGATGATCATACACTGCTGCTGTTACACCATACTAAAGACTAACATTGTTTTGGTGTGGTGTTTGTCCGTTAAAATCGACTCATCTGGTGGGGGGGGGGGGCTGGGTTACGGTTACCTCGAAGGAGGCTTGCTAGACCGATCCGTGCTCGTAATAATTTCTAGCATCGCAGGAAGGGGATTGTTGCTGCAGCCGGGGATCTAATCTTGCTCTTTCGGGCAAGCCTGCGTGTCTTAGCTGTGGTTATCCTAAGAAATTTAGCCCCTTTCTTGACAGCTGCTGTCCACATGGCTCTGTCCTAGGCTGTCTTCATCCATTGAATAGGGTTGATGCTGAAGGTCTATAGTGCCGCTTTCAGGAAGTCTTAGTAACGCTTTTTTTTTTTTTACCTCCTTGGGAGCGCTTGCCTATCGTGAGTTCTCGGAAGAAAATCTGTTTTGGGAGCCTGTGATCGTCCATACGGGCTACGTGTCCCATCCAACAGAGTTGAGACTGCATCAGGATGGTGAAGATACTAGGTAGGTTCGCTCTAGCGAGGACTTGTGTCAGGGACTTGCCGGAGAGTTTCCTGAGTCAGGGTGTGTGAAAATGGCTAAGTTTCTTGGCGTGACGCTGGTAGAATGCCCACGTTTCACATCAGTTGAGCAATGTCGAGAGGACTGCTGCGCTATAGACCTTGATCTTCGTTTCTTGTCTGATTCCTCTCTTGTCCCAAACAGTGCTGCGGAGCCTGCCAAATATGGCACTAGCTTTTGCGAGTCTGGCATTCATTTCATCTGGAGACTAACCATACACTACTACTTCTTTCTAACATAATAATATACTACTGCAACACCATACAGACACATGCATAGACACCAATCATCTTTCAACTATAATATTTAAATCACCCAACAATTTTAGCTATGAAATTTACAAAATAATAATTAAAAAAGAGTTTTTATACAACTTCATGCAAATGTAATGAAACCCTTAAATAAACAAGTGGTCAAGACAATGGGTATCCACAAAACTTTTGTCAACATACTCTACCCTATGGCCTGAGGATTAATGACGATTTTCATTAAGATGCGGGAACAAGGAATACACATGTATTAGATTACACTCAGCAAGCACGCCACTCAGATAGCAACAGCTTTCATATAATATTAAGGCATGCTCTAAGGCAGCAGTTCTCAACGTGTGGGTCGCGACCCATTTGGAGGTTGAATGACCCTTTTTCAGGGGTTGCCTAAGACCATCGGAAAATACATATGCTCTACAGTTATTAAGTAGCAACGAAAATAATTTTGTGTTTGGGGGCTGCCACACCACGAGGACTTGTATTAAAGGATCGTGGCATTAAGGAAGTTGAGAACCACTGCTCTCAGGGATGCTACGAGGCAACGCTACAATGTGGGCTCAACACAGGCTGCCACACATGACTGGATAAAAAGGACTGTGAATTTTATGAAGGAATCTTTTTTCCACTTTTCAAAATCCATAGAATAGAAATTCGATTTTGTATGTTATAAGTGGTAGGATTTCAGTAATTATGAAGGATTTGGGAAATGTTTTTATAGATGCGATCCTGAGATTGTATTGTGATAAAAAACCATTTCAGGCCATGGGAAATGCTTGCATCAGGAGATCCATGGTCGAATTTTTCTTTAGGCTGTGACCATTCGTACGCTGTTACCAGGAGTGACAGGTTGGGATAAAAAAACTATTACAAATTTTATTGTTTGGTTTGTAAGACAAATTGAGGTATCAAATGAAACATAATTAAATGGACTATATGTTTGTAAATAAATTCTTCAGTTTAAATAAAATAAACTACAACAAATGACATCCGAATAGCTTGAGTCTAATGGTACCCGGGTGCGAATGACGGCGCTGCGTGTCTGGGTACATTTTTACAAACATATAGTCCATTCAATTATCTTTCATTTGATGCCTCGTTTTGTCTTACAAATCCAACAAATACATTTTACTGGGTTTTTTTAATCCCAGCCTCTCACTTTTGGTACCCGGGTACGAATAGCCACTTATTTTTTCTTACATGAGAGATTCAAATTAAATTTCAAAAATTGATTTGCGCTGCAGCTAGATCGGTCATGAACATTTAATTTAAGGTTTTATAGTTGCACACATATGAACGTCTTGCCTGTGCGAGGTGCGTGATAAAGCTTGGCTCATTTTATGAGAACATAATGTTTATTGTTCATTTACTTAACGTCTGATAATTGTGAAATGTATCATTATTGAACTAGCTGGATTAATAAAACCATGATGGGCATGTCAAAAGGGAATAGGTCAATAATCTATAATAATAATCCCAGATGGCACTCTATATCTTCACCAATAATAATCCCAGATGGCACTCCATATCTGCACCAATAATAATCCCAGATGGCACTCCATATCTCCACCAATAATAATCCCAGATGGCACTCCATATCTCCACCAATAATAATCCCAGATGGCACTCCATATCTCAACCAATGCTTAGTTGTTTAACCTCGTTATATAAATGGTATTGACGGTACCAATAGTATTTTCGTTAGGTATTGACGGGTAGTTGTGCCATTTGAGTAGGGTATTATCGTTGCCAGACACAATGCTGGTCATAATATAAGCCCTTGGTGTGCATTTAGTGCGCACATGTTCAAGCACATGACTAATATAAACGCAGCATGATGCGCAAGGATAGCTGTGTGGACAAAAGCCACTCGGAAATCATTCCTAGACCAAGGTTGGCAACCATGTTCCCAAACAACCACAATACTGGTCAATGAAAAGTTAAATTCGCCACATTTTATACACATTAGAAAACACTGCTATTAAATAAAATTGATGAATTACTTTGCTAGTTATTAACACAAATGTTTACTATACAATTGTATTTCGTTATATAAATTTTTAATGCTGTATTTGTAACTTGAGTTACATTTCCTCGCAGATCTTAACAGTTCACCAATTAGGTTGCCCCTAACTGTTCACCAATCACGTTGCCCCTAACAGTTCACTAATTACGTTGCCCCTAACAGTTCACCAATTGCGTTGCTCCTAACTGTTCACCAATTACGTTTCTCCTGTTTATCAATTACGTTGCTCCTAACTGTTTACCAATTGCGTTTCTCCTAACTGTTTACCAATTACGTTGCTACTAACAGTTCACAAATTACGTTGTTCCTAAATGTTCACCAATTACGTTGCTCCTAACGGTTCACAAATTACGTTGCTCCTAACAGTTCACCAATTACGTTGTTCCTAACTGTTCACCAAATGCTTTGCTCCTAACAGTTCACGAATTCCGTTGTTCCAAGCAGTTCACCAATTACGTTGCTCCTAACAGTTCACCAATTAAGTTGCTCCAAGCAGTTGACCAACTTCGTTGCTCCTAACAGTTCCCCAAATACACTAACAACAAGAATGCTGTACTCTATCGTCATCATGTGCCTGGCGCTGACCGGATGCTCGGCTGTTGCACCGGTCACCTTGACAACAAGAGACAAACTTGCTTTCCTCAATGCCCACAACACTGCCCGCAAACAGGTCAACGTTCCAGATCTGGTAAGATTGATTTCTTTTTTAAAAGGAAAAACATATAGCTTTTTAATTGTTAAGAAGAAACTACCAATAAATATTCCAGTGTTTCTCTCTGTAATGCCTTTATACACATCTGTGGACCCCCTTTGGAATTGTATAAAAACTTAGAGTTAAAACGGTTTGAGCTGATTATGGGTCACAGGAGCTTCAATAACTCCATGCACCAGTGAGACAGAATCACTCAAACAAATGTAAATATTGCACAAACACCTGTATCCAAAGTTTACGTGCTAGTCCTTCTATGTACATAAAATCACGTCAAAAGTCACATGTCCATTGGGTTACTTCGGGAAAAGAAACTTTAGAAAAACAACCATTAACGATACTACGTTGTTTTGCTGCAAAGAACAACAAACTGAAATAGGAATCGATCTATCAATGTTATAAGTTATTTCCGACCTATAGCAGCTCCTAAGGTGTATTCTATCTGATGGGACATGCGGAAAAGCCTAACTCTCGTTTGGTTTGAAGGCTAATACTATTATAGAAAAAGAGAATACTCACATGTAAGTCAAAGTTTTAACACAGTGATATTTTACGACTTTAAAAAAAAACCTATCAACTCTATTACACTGATAAATTGACGACCACATTTTTCGATGGCTTAAATTGATTAAGTAAAATAAAATGAACTTTATTTCGACATATATTGATATCAATTCAAGTAAACACCAACATTGTCTTCTTTACTTCCGTCTACGGTGCATGGGACGAAAGTGTGGTCGTAAACTCTTACATTATAGTGTAATTATTTTTGCTTAATTTTAGGCCCTTGAACATGTTGAATTGCTTGACCTCTTTCAGGCATGGAATATTACGCTGGAACGTTTTTCCCGGCAATACATTAGCAGCTGTGTATATAAACACAGTGGTGGCCCGTATGGAGAAAACTTGTATGTGTCTTCTCGTAAGTCATTTTTTACAGTTTAAGACATTATCATTAACTAAACCTAAACATCGAGACATTATCTATTATTAACTTAACGTAGGCAACAAGGCACTAACTATCATTACCTAAGACTAAATATCAAGACGTTAACTATCAATGACTAAGACGAAGTATCAAGAATTAACTATCATTAACGAAGTCTAAATATCAAGACATTAACTATGATTAACTAAGTCTTACTATCAAGTCACTAACTATCATTAACTTAACCTAAACATCAAGACATGAACAATCATTAGGTAAGTTTAAATATCAAAACATTAGCTATCATGAACTAAACCCAAATATCAATGTGATATTAAATGTCAAGGACTGTCATTACATTGACAAGAAAATTATCATAAAGTAAAAAAGTTAACAAAATATTTTCCAACCAACCCCCCCCCCCCCAAACACACATTTTTTGGCGGGCCATGCAACAAAAGCAACAACAACAAGAAAAGCAAAAACATCATTATGGATATTAACGTGCTCCTATTTGACTCCAGCCACCGATGTCAATAATACGCGTGTGGCTGAGGCCTCTGTGGCGGGATGGAACAGTGAGAAGGCGTTAGTGGACTACCCCACCTGGAAATGCATCCTGACTGGAAAATGTGGACATTACTCACAGGTTAGTGGTCAAAGTTATTTTTTTTTATTGCTACTTGAGAACTTCACTAACCTCATCAAGGAAACTCACCAAAGAACCTCACTTAACTCATCGAGGAACTTTACTGAGCTCACCAAGTAAATTCACTGAACTCATCAAAGCAATTTCACTAAACTCACAAAGGAACTTCAATGAAATAACCAAAGAACTTCGTTGAAATTACCCAGGAACTCCGTGGGGAACAGCTGTACACTGATATCTGATGAGAAAAAATAAGACCCTCAAATCTGTACTTGTTCAAAGACACGACAAAAAAATGAGTTTCTTTATTTTCACACCATATTTTGTCATTGTTCATTTTGACATTGAAATGTGCCTAATCAAACCTAGATATTGACTTTAAATTAGATCTATATTCTGATCTTTCATATTGAACAAACTAATCATACAAAAAAATGAGTTTCTTTACCTTTCCCACCATATTTTGTCATTGTTCATATTGACATTGAAATGTGCCTAATCAAACCTAGATATTGACTTTAAATTAGATCTATATTCTGATCTTTCATATTGAACAAACTAATCATACAAAAAAATGATGCACAACATATTTTTACCTTTATTTATTTTATTTTTTTATAATTCTTTTTTTTTTCGAAGTGGCTATTCGCACCCGGGTACAAGAAGTAAGAGGTTGGATTAAAAAACTAATTAAAATGTTATTGGTGGGTTTGTAAGACAAAATTATGTATCAAATGAAAGATAATTGCATGGACCATGGGGACGTCTATTAATTACGTCCACAATATTTCCGCAATTTTTGACCCCCCCTCCCTCCCCATGGTCAACAACTGTCAAACTTTCGATGACCCCCCCCNATTAATTACGTCCACAATATTTCCGCAATTTTTTACCCTCCCTCCCTCCCCATGGTCAACAACTTTCAAAATTTCGATGACCCCCCCCCCCCCCTATTTAATTATGTCAAACTTGTATAAGCCCTCTCCCCAAAAAAATGAATTAGAATATAAATAAATGTTTAAATATATTTTAATTTGTGCTGATGTATTTGTAATAACAAAGAATTGTAGGAAACACACTTCATTACAGCTTTAGCTTGTTAATCAGTATAGCTGACAATTATAGTAGAGTTTCTAGCGGCTATATCTTCAAATGGAGTAGCCAGGTGTTGTTCTATCGTAACAATGGGCATCAGTGACATCATTTGGGTAGGGCAGGGGGTTCCCCCCCCCGATTTTGCTGGTTTAAATTGCTATGCACTGTGGCACCTCCAGTTCTAAACAACTTAACAAGCCGACCAAGTTTTGTTTCCCCCACCCCCCTACACTCCCTTCCCCTGAAAAAAACCTGAAACAATGCCCCTGATGGGCAAAATGCAAAGTAGCTGATTTATCATTTTCATCTTGTGGAACTGATACACCAGACAAGTCAACATCATCCTTATCTAACCATTCAGCGCTTAAAATAGAAGTATTGTCTGTGTGAGCAATAATTGCCATAAGCTCTCTCTGTCTTTGAGGTGGCTTAGTTGTTATTGAACACCGATGAGTGTGTATTTTTTATTGAACACCGTGTACAATGATGTGTTATTTATTCTAGGGAGCGGATTAAGAGAAAAATGACAGGTGAAGAGATGCCAACTGTTGACTTCTCTTGCACTAACAAAGTGTGCTAACATTCTGACCAGCCATCTGCAGTGCACATATAGACACACATTAACTAACTCTTTTATTGTTAAAAGCCTAAATATGTAAGACTATTTACACTCATTAAATTGTTTAAAATAATGTAAGCACCAGTCAATTAAAAAAACTGATTTCCTTATTCCACGTAGGTCGTATGGAAAACTACAAAAACTGTTGGATGTGCCATCATAAACTGTGAGCCACCATTCAACAACTTGGTGGTGTGTGAGTACTGGCCACGGTAAGAATAGCGTTGGATCAGCTGGTTATTGCGTTATATACAGGCATAGATATTGTAGATAGCCTTATTGTAGTAATGCGATGGTCGTTTGTCGTAATTGGGGAGATGTCGGTTAGTATGAAGGATGCTGAGAAATCTTTTTTTTTTTTTTTTTTTTGAAAGATTTGTTCCTGCGTTGATGTAGGGGGGGTGAAATGTATTTGAAAAGTTTGGGTCTGGGGATCCGAGTGTTCAAAAGGAAAGGGTTGAAATTTTTTTTGAAAGATATGTTCCTGCGTTGATGTAGAGTGGGTGAAATGTATTTGAAAAGATTGGATCTGGAGATCCGAGTGTTACAAAGGAACTGGTTGAAAGGGGGGGGGGGTTGAAAAGGCTTTATGAAAACGCCCATTCAGACATGTGTCTGCTCTTATAAAAGGGATAAAGCCCTGGATGTCGAGTTTTTCCAGACAGCTCTAACTGGTTCTTATGTTGTAAAAGTGAAGACCCCTGAAAGTAAATACGAGCGAAGGCATCACCTCTACTATTACATATATATATAATTATATATTTGGAGCCCGAGGGAGTACTAGTTGGATTGACACACTTTATAAGTAGACTAATAGTCTGAATGTAGATTAACAGTAAATGTGTATAAAGAATTTATCTTGAAGTGGACTACAAATGAAACGTTATTGATGAAAGTGAAAGTCTTTTTTCTTTAAATCTTTCTTTTTAACTGCAAGTTTTTGTTTATATGTTCTATTAATTGGATTTTTCTTGCCTGCAATACCCACTATAATGATTAGATTGTATGGAATGGTATTATAATGTTAATTAACTATAAAACGTAATATTATAAATTTAATTGTATTATTTAACATTGAATTTAATTGTAAATTTGATAGTATAATGTAATTGTGAATTTAATGGTAGAATGTAACAGTATAATTGACTGTAGTAAATTATGAGGGTTAATGTTATTAAATAGTTGAACTTTTTTTTATTTCAGCGGTAATCTCGTACCGGGTAAGCCATACTGATCATGGACAGTTCATTCTCATTTATGGATGAGATCAACATCGTCTCATCCAATACCAAGCGTCGTTATTATAACTTTAAATTATTAAACATTATATAAATATTGTCTGTGTCGTCAATACATTCATTACTAACTATAAATTTATTTGTTTCTTTTCAAGTTTCTCAACTTACAAAAAATGTTGAACAATTGTAAGGAAATAATGAACACGTGACTTTGACTTTATAACTGTTCAAACTAGCGTTACCCAAATAGGTGTATCTCTTGTCTCTGTTATTTGAATCCTTCTTCGTATCCCGCCCACTTTGTCTCGTGTGTTGTTCTTACTGATGCATCCAACACATTTGAATGTCCGTACTGTTGTTACATATTTAAATACTTGGGAAAGGCTGGTTTTATATATGATTTGGCAAAATTAGCTAGCAAGTCATTTCTAAGCTTTCGTCAATATGTGTAGAGTACCTTAACTTGTACGCTAATCTGGCTGAACAAATTATGATTTTGACAACGTAATACAGGTCTTTTATATGTACCCTTATGGAAACAATGTACAAGAAAAAAGTAGAGCAGTAATGACATTTTAGCATTTCAAAAGACAATTATAACTACCCTATTGTCCGCGCAGAAGTAGAAGCAGCAGTCCAAGCAGGAAAGGCCGCAGGTAAAGCGTCTTGATAAGACCTCGTCGTCCTACTGCATGCTAATCAGTGCCGAAAAGACAAAACTTATGACAAATAACACCACAGGCATCACACTGAAATTAAGGTCGGGGAGGAAAGACTAGAGACTGTAGGCCGCTTCAAATACCTAGAAGCAATAGTCTCAGACGAAGGCCCGAACTGATGTCCTGGATTGCGCAGACTACAACAGCACTAAAGAGGCCAAAGAAAAAAAGGAAAGACAAAAATAAAGCCCCCCCCCCCCCCGCAACAAAATCAGGCTTATACACTCATAAGTCCTCTCCATTTTTCTGTATGCCTGCAAATCCTGGACATTAACGGCTGATCTTGAAAGAAAAATAAACGCAATGGAGATGAGATGCTTCAGAAGCATTTTTGGCATCTGCTACAGGGAAAATATCTCCAATGATACAGTGAAAGAAAGGGCTCGCCAGGCAATCGGGGAACACAATGTCCTACTGGTGACTTTGAAAAAACGCAAACTACATTGGTACGGCCACGTAACAAGGAAACAAGGGTCACGTAACAAGGAAACAAGGGCTTGCCAAAGAAATATTGCAGGGCACCACAAGAAGAGGGAGAAGAAGAGGAAGACAAAAAAAAAGTTTGAAGGATGACATCAAAGGGTGGACAGGACTGACACTGGGCGCTTATGTGCGTAGTGCAGAAGACAGAGACGAATGGAGGAGGATAGTTCATATGTCTTATGTGGTGCCCCAAAGATGCAAGGACTAAGGGACATGATGATGATGAGGAAGATGATGATGATGTGAAATGTCAATGTTAGTTTGTAACTGTAGTACACGTGTGCTTTATGTTTGAAATTTATATACGCTCTATATCTCTTTAATCTGCACAAATTATTCACATTTCAACCATTAACCTATAGGATAAGCAAATTTAATTGTTAGTGCAATGTTCGCTTTATTCCTACTAGTGTTTGAAGGGACTAACAAACGATTGACTATCGCTGACGAAACTTGAATTTAACCTTCTTGAATCTATTGGACAATTTTGAAAACTTACTTACGACATTTACGATGCAAATCGCACGGGAGAAACTTTGAATTTTAAAATAGAAACTGTTGAAGCGGATATATAATATTGAAGGGGAAATTGTAATAGAAATGAACGACGCACACTCTTTTGTGTTCGGTGTAACAACTGAGCTTTATTCTACACTAAACACTCTTTTTATACCTCTACATTCATGATCACTCATTCCACTCTGCCATGCATTTAAGTTTAAAACATTCATGAATAAAAACAACTCACGACGTCCAGTCATACCACATAACAACAACACCACAGGCCAATCAGGTCAACAACTTCACTCACTACTCACAATAATAATCCTCAGTCATACTGTCACAGAAATATCAAATCGAAGTGGATACATCACAGTGAAGTGAATCTATCATAGTGAAGTGATATATCAAATTGACGAGGATAATCCATGCTGAAATAAATATGTCATATTTAAGTGATATATTATTACAAGTTTAAATTTAAATTAAAATTCCAATTTGAAAGATTTTTTTTTTTTTTTGCGGGCACAATGTGACAATGATGTAGACTTCGTTGGTCGAAATTCGAAAGGCATGGGATTATCCTTTTTTAGGATGGTTCCCTAAACAGCAAATCGCCACTCTCCACGCCATTGCATAACCCAAGGGAATATCATGTGGCGTCGCAGCAGTTGTCGAAAGTTTACATTGTGTCAATGTTATCCGCCTACGGGATTCCATCTGAGGGTTGAATTCAGAGTTTCCTTCTCTTAGATGGGTTGCCATCCACGTGTAACGATTCCCATTCACCTGGGGTGTTGGTGATGATTTCGCTTGACTGGGTTTTTGGGTGGGGATTGAACTCCAGACCATTAGCTCAGTTAAGACCATTTGACCACTGTGTACCCAAAAAATTACCTTCGTATTAAGTACTGACAATATCTGATTAAGAAGATGTCTCTAAAGTTTGTTCAATATTTAACACTTTTTTTCATAAAATTTAAAAAGACTTATGCCACGCGATAAACTTTCGCCAATTACATAATGGATTCCAATTGTAATTTCAATTTTTTTTTTTTTTCAATTTATGATTTCCACTCATAGGAAATTGACCTTATATCTAAACACATCATTTTTTATAGAAGCCAAAATAACAACAACAAATCCATATTATTAGATTAGTTTGAAATGAAACGTTTTTATTATGAATGACATTTAACCTCAGAGAATAATCTTAGGACAAAAGAAAGGCTGAAGGTCAAAATATTTATGTAACTTACGACAACAAAAAATAGATAACCAATGTAAAACGTGAAAATCAATGTATATCTTCATGCATGTTATATAGAATAAAGATAACATTTATAGCTTAAAGCGATATATTTTAACAGTCCAAGCTTTCTAACTGATAGATCAGCTATAAGCCCGTTGTTCTTGATTCAACTTACAATTTGATTGTATTGATAATATTTTAAAACTACTCATTTCAACATGAGATTTTTAGCAGCGTTTGGAGCTTTAGCTCAGAGCTCTCGGGCAGCTTTTGTTTTTGCCTGGAGCTAATAACCTTTTTTACTACTCTGAGCACCGAAGTTTTTAAAAAAAATTAATGAAATTAATTAAAAATTTATAATTTGACAGTAATTTTAAAAAGAATTATTTATTGAAATAGATTCACCAAATACCCCTAACTTTTGAACAGCATCGTTGCCCAAACCTTTTAAATCTATGTTGTCTCACTCTTCTACCATATATCCTGTCCCACACACTAAGCAGCTATGTTGCCACACTCTTTAACATCTATTGTTCCCCACTCTCCGACCTGCTATGTTGCCACACTCTTTAACATCTATTGTTCCCCACTCTTCGACCTGCTATGTTGCCACACTCTTTAACATCTATGGTCCCCCACTCTTCTAGGAAATATGTTTCCTCACTCTTAGTCCAGCTAGGTTGCCTTACTCTTTCTTTTGCATCTATTGTTCCCAACTCTTCTAGGAACTATGTTTTCTCACTCTTCGACCTGCTATGTTACGCCACTTTTCTACCAATTCTTTTTCACAATTCTTAAACAGTTATTTTGCTGGTACGTTTATTTAGGACGCCAATAAGATGATTTAGTTAAACACAATAAACACATTCCTTTAAACACTTAGCAACCCAACAACCACTTAACCTCCCTTATTTAAATTGTCGCAGAGCTGGGAGCAGAGCTGACAAAATTTTGACTTGAGCAGGGCTGTGCCAAAATAATCCTGCTCGATATACCTGACTTCAATAAACTTATCTTCCATGT